ATTTTTAACAATGATTCATTTCCATATTTAGATCTTCAAACTAATATAAGGGATTTTAATATGTGGGTGTAAACCCTTGTTATTTGGACATTTTATAGCAAACATGAGATGTTAGTAAAAGAGCTGTGTCCGTTTTTCTTCTTTGTTTTTGTAAATAATAATAATGCAAAATCCAGTCTAAGTATCTGGATGACTTATGTGCAATGAAGTATAAATATTATTATTATTATTCCAAATATACATGAGTTGCATAATGAGTCAATGAACGGAAGAGAGGCAGGTAGCCAGACAGGTTTATTCTAACCAAGTTTGGTATACTGTGCAAATATACCTCTTAATGTCAACTCATAAAATATTTTTATGGTCTTTTTAGAGTTGCCAACAGAAAGGGAGAGGGGGAAAGGGGCTTGAAAGAGCAGTGTGGCAGCTTGGAAATCGAAAGTGCATTCCATAAATAGTTTTTCAAAGATAGTAACTAGGTGACTGAAGTTTCTGCCATGCAAATATCTAACTGGAGAACATGACTGATGACTCTTGGCTATGGATGTGTCTCATTGGAGAATATGAATTATGATACACCCAGAGGGGTGGGGGAAAACCAGGGTCAAGGGTGACATTGGATTATGTGTCTCAGAGCCGGCTGCACCCAGGCAGTGCCAGACATGTTAACTCCGAATAAATCCTTTAAAGTTTTGGAAGTTTGGCTCAAGACTCATGATTTAATTGGGGTAACTGCCAGAATCCTGACACTTAGGTTTTTACCAAACCTGGCTACACATATGATGTTCTATCTCAATTAAACTATCTTGATTTAAGAAAACCAGGGCTGGGTGTGAAGACCCTGATTTCAGTGGCTTCTCCCCTTCCCTTAAATCTCAAGCAAAGGCCATGAAATGGGAATGGCCCCTTGTGGTCTATCTGCCCCTGCAGGAAAAGAAGAGGCAGGGTCAAGTGAGGAATTAGTCTGGAGTGCTTACATCACTGAAACAATCCAAGTCCACTTCCAGTGAATTCCGTTGACCTTACCTAGAACCAATTTAGTGCTGATGGTTAGTTGGCTAAATTCTTGAGTATAGGCGTGAGCAATCAATCTTAATTGGAACTTAACATGTGCATTAAACCCATACAATTCTTGGGTCTGTGACAATTTGCCACAACCAACTTGGCACCCGCCATCTTGCCACAAGATAACTCATTGCGGGGCAACAGTTAGACTAATATTAAAGAAATGGTGGAATAGAATCATTAATGAGCTGTGGTGGCACAGTGGTTGGAGTGCAGTACTGCAGGTTACTTCTGCTGCCTGCAATTGGGCAGTTCGAATCTCACCAGGCTCAAAGTCGACTCAGCCTTCCGTCCTTCCGAGGTCGGTAAAATGAGGACCTAGATTGTTGAGGGGGGATAGGCTGACTCTGTAAACCGCTTAGAGAGGGCTGTAAAAGCACTGTGGAGCGGTATATATAAGTCTAAGTGCTATTGGTATTAAAGAAAGGATGCAAAATGAGGGACAGAATGAAATGTGAATGGCAAAAAATTGAAATAATTGTATTTGTTTTAAATAATTAAATAGAATTGTTAAATTCTCCTGCGCCAAGTTGCCCATAGTGAGGGCAGCTGCGGTGAGTTGGCCGCAAGGAATTGGCCATGACAAATTGTCCCATTCCCACACACAATTCTTCGTGTCCGGCCCCTTTTCAGAGGCTGGGCAAGCCAAGGACAAGAATACCTCCTCCCACTGTGACCCATGGATCCCAGACCCCTACCGATCATGTCCAGGATGCTCTGGTGGTTTGAAATGATGACACAGGGACCTTCCATCCCGAAGTGCTCCAGACCCTTCACTTCAAACCTCAGGCCGTAGAAGTACTTGAAGGTGCGAACCACATTTTTAATTAACCTAATAATTAAATAAAAAAAACAGACAAAAGTGTGTGATGAGTCAACCGGCCCTCCACAGAGGTGAAACTTCGCGTCGAAGATGACCTGAAGCTGTTCCTACAACCAAAGCCACGTTTCCCCCCCCAACTCTCTTCCCACTCGCCTGCATGCAACAGGCATTTTCTTCGCTCATTAAACCCGAAATTCTGGCTTCTGAAACCTCTTTTGGTGAGATATTAAAGAGGGCTAGGAGCTGCATGAATTTTCCTGCTTTGAGCCTCCCAGCTGGAAAAACAAGTTCGTCTCTTTTCCGCTCTTCCAGTCACCTCCATCAACGGCTTTCTGGATGAGGCAGGAAGGTAAACTATCCATGAAAATGACTCAGCTCTTTCAACCGTGGCTGGGCAAAGTCCCTCAGCTGCCTTCGGAGTGACTGACTGAGGCAGCATGTCACTCTTGTCTTGACCTCAAAGCGTGCTCTCTCTCTCTCTCTCCCTTCTCCCTGTCTCTGTCTCTATCTCTGTCTCTGTGAGTGTCTCTGTCACTCTCTCTTTGAGTGTGTGTGTCTCTCTCTCCCCGTTTCCCTTCCATCTGAAACTTCCACTCCTGGTTTGTAACAGCCCACATTTCCTAGAGAAACTACCACACCTAGAACTCCCAGCCATGGCCCACATGGGTGAAAACCGCAGCCCCAACACCGTCTTGGCACGGCTAAAAAAAACCACCGAGAGCTGCTAATTAGTCCTTGACTTATCATTCCAATTGCGACTGGAATTTCCAGTGTAACACTTGCTAAGTCAAGTCAGATTCAGTTTTAGGACAAACTTCATGGTAAGTAAATCACGAGGTTGTTAAAGAAATCCATCTTCCCTCATCGCTGTTTCTTGTCGGAACTTGACCAAAACAAGGTTCACAAAATGTGACCACAGGATGTTGCAGCCTGTCACACGCATGCGCTGGTTGCCAAATGCCCAACTTATAATTACACCACTGTGGTGTGATGTGACAGCTGTAAGTGTAACTACAGGTTATAGATCCTTTTCTATTTTCTACTCTATTTCAAAAACAATAATAATAATAAAGGATTCTATTCTTAGCACCATTGTAACTTTGAACCTTTGTTCAATGAAAGGGGGATCATTGCTAAACTACAAGTCCCAGCTTGCTTTGAAGCTGCAGCACTTCAGCACCTCCCAGGATTTTTATTTTTATTTTATTTTTATTTTATTTTTATTTATTTATTTTTGTCAATTGCTTACAAGATAATAGGTGTAAGTAAAAACATAGTTATGAATACATGGATACATATAAGAAAAATAAAAAATAAAAGAAACAATAGGACAGGGACGGTAGGCACGTTGGTGCGCTTATGCACGCCCCCTACATGCCTCTTAGAAGAGGGGTGAGGTCAATAGTAGACAGTCTAAGGTTAAAGTTTTTGGGGTTTGGGGAAGAAACCACAGAGTCAGGTAGAGTATTCCAGACATTGACCACTCTGTTGCTGAAGTCGTATTTCCTGCAATCAAGTTTGGTGCGGTTAACCTTGAGTTTGTATCTATTGTGTGCTCTTGTATTGTTATGGTTGAAGCTGAAATATTCATTGACAGGTAAGTCATTGCAATGTATGATTTTATATACCATACTTAGATCAGACTGAAGACGGCGTAATTCAAGGTTTTCTAGGTCTAGAATTTCAAGTCTGATGACATAAGGTATTCTGCAACGAGTAGAAGAGTGGAGAACTCTTCTTGTGAAATATTTCTGGACTTTCTCAACTGTATTAATATCAGATACGTAATGCGGGTTCCAGACTAATGAGCTGTATTCGAGTATTGGTCTAGCAAATGTTTTGTATGCTCTAGTTAGTAGTGTGATATTACCAGAGAAAAAGCTACGTAGGATTAGGTTAACAACTCTTAATGCCTTTTTGGCTATGTAGTTACAGTGGGCTCTAGCACTTAGATCATTAGAGATGAGTACTCCAAGGTCCTTGACAGAGTTTGGATCATCAACAAGGTCTTGACTATTCACCCTGTATTTTATTTTCTGGTGGTTTTTTTTTGCCAATATGTAGGACAGAGCATTTATTTGTTGAGATTTGAAGTTGAGGATGAAGGCAGATGGGGTAAGGAAGGCCGCAAGAGCTGGTAGGGGCCAAACAGAAGGACGAGAGCTGTGGTGCTGTGCCAGAAGATGGAAAGCGCATTGCCTCTACTGCCCGAGGGAGGGGAAGGAGCAGGTGGCACACCACCCTGAGAATCTGGATCTGATTGGCTCTCTGCAGCTGCCGCCATCTTCATGCAAATGGGGGCAGAGTCCACTTCCAACGTAGGGAGCAACAAGAGCGGTGAGTAACCCTCAGGTCAAAGGTCGAGGCCAGAGGTCCAACCCATTCCTGGGAAGAATGGCTAGGACTTTTTTTTTTCAGTGTGTGCAGAAGAGAAGTTAAGGATGGAAAGAGCAGCTTTGAAAATCTCTTGAGCTCAAGAGCCCAAGCGAAGACCTTGCTTTTCTGCCAGAGAGGAAAAGGCATTTTGCAGAATCCTCTGCTTGAGGGTCTTTGCACTAAGATGCTGTTTCAAAGGACTTTTTGTTCTCAATTGATTTTATTTTATTTATGTGTTTATGTATTTATTGGATTTATATTGCTGCCTATTCACCCATGGTGACTTAAGGCGGCGTACAAGGTATAAAACCACATTTAAAACAGTAAAACTAGTCAGAAGAATCAAATAAATTAATAAAATTGTTGTGGTTCACCGGCAGCCTGTGCAGACGGCAGCCGAATTAGGCAGTGGGGAAGAACAGGGACCAGTCTGGGAGTCTGGGGAGGACTCGGATGAGGGTCCTGCATCTGATACAGAGATGGGGCCAGGACTATCTGGGAGTGGGGTGCTACCTCTGAAGCCTCTGGAGTCTGGCAGCAGCGAGGCAGAGGAACAAGGGGAGCCTGTTCCCAATGCGCATGTGCACAGAACTGCCAGAAGGCAAGAGCAGCTGAGACAAAAGGGGCGACTTGGGAGTAAGCCTTGGAGGTGATTACCCCTCCCCTAAGGGATAAAGGAAGTGCAAAGGTAGAGAAACCTTTGCAGGAAGCAACGTCGTTCGCTCTGTTCAGATTAAACCTTGAAGCTCTGTGTGGACTTTGTTCTTCGGTCGAGTTTTTTACAGTTAATTTGACACTTCCTAGTTGTTGGCAGCAATTCAAAGGAGAGAAAAGTGGGTGCTTATCTCGAGGGACTGTTTGGGACTCAATACAGGCTGGGAATGAGCATAATTCCCAGTGGTGAAATAAAACAAGAGTTGTTTTAACTAAGTGCGTGCTTAATTATGGTCTCAGGAAGTCTTGGTCAGAACAATAATAGAATCACCTCCCACCCCAGTGACAGCAGATTCCACTGGGCTTCATCCCGCTCTGGGTTCCCTGGGCCCACTGGCAGAACCAGGTCTTCAATGCCCTTCGGAAGGGAATCAGAGTGGGGGCCATTCTGATATCTGGGGAAATGATGTTCCAGAGAGAGGGAGCCACCACAGAGAAGGCCCTTGTCAGCCTTCAAGATCTTCTACTACTGCTTTGCATTTTTTGGCTGCCATAAGTAACGGGGGGAGGAGGGAGGATATGGTCTGGGAAGAGAGGTGGAGGTGTTACATTCTTGTGTTGTGTAAATGAGGAGTGGTGGGGGGGGAGTATAAATTCCTGCTTTTAGGTTTCTATTTCTCACGTAGCTTTCTTTTCTCTGCGCAGCTGCAAACCTTTATCAAAATATGCCAAGGTCAACGGACAGAGGCCTCATCACCACCTGAAGATGTCCACATGATCATATTCAGAACTTTTAATTGGAAGAATCTTTTGAACTATGGGGGGTGGGAACAACTTCATCACTTTGTATATGTGATCTGCGCGCCTAAATTCTCAGATTCAGAATCCTATTTGATGCTACCACTTCATTTTTCAGTAAAAGAATTCTTTTCTCTAATTTATGGAGTCTAAGTATTTCTTTCTTGGATTTTGAATGGAGCACCGACTGACAGCCCTTCTTATGGGTCTCACCAGGTGTATCTCCCTCGGGGATGGGATCCGCAGCATTCTCTACCTCCCCAGTCTGATGGGTCGGGTAGATGTGACCGGCAAGAGATTTCCTGGTTCACATGACTTCAGGAAAGAAAGTGAACTGTAGATGGTTCCATTAAAGTCGATCACTACAGTGGAAAGAAGAGGCAGCAAGGAAATCGGCTCTTTGTAATTCCTCTCTGGACAAAGAGAGGACCTGAGGATCACCCACAAGTGCTCCAGACCGCTGCTCCTTATGAGGAGACCACAAGCACTGCTCTCCGACTGATTCAAAGTTCTGGGAGACAAAGCCACAGCCATCTTTTTACCCAAAACAGGGTCAGCGCCTTCAAAGGAATGCAAATGGGTTTGGATATTTCCTTTTCCAAACAGAAATTCAATCCTTCCCATGGGAAAATGCTTTTGGCTTGAATTCTCTTTTTTTAAAAATAAAAAACCGATGGGATTAAATGATGAAACTTGGACATAAGAGGGAACCAGAAAGAACTAAAGTATACAATTGAAGGGGAAGAAAGCTTAATTTGCTTTATTAAGACAGAATTCAGCAAACTGTTTTGTAATATTGAAGAATGTTTTTGAGCAATACACGGAAGTTTATTTTAAGAGTGTCTAGAGAGATATGTTTAAAAAATATTATGGAAGAGGAACAAGTTTTACCGGATCAGTTTGAGGCACATCTGACAGTGGATTTAAAAATGAAAGGCTACAGAGGTGGAAAAAGATGATGCGCTTACAGAAGAAACCTGATGATGTCTTAATAATTAAAGGGGATTAAAAAGAATTTGCATACCAGGAGAGTGGCCTGGATTTTCCTATGTTGGATTTGCAAAAGAGGCTTCTTAAAGCTCTGAAGGATTTTCTGCACTTCCTATTTTGGTATTCTTTTTAAAAAAAACAACTTTGAATTAGTTTTTATTATTGTAATTTTTAATATAATTAACTTTTTTTAAAATTCCTGAGGTTAAAAAATAAAGTCACAATGGCCCAAAACAACCAAGGCTTAGTCCGCATTTGAGCCCTGCAGTCTTTGAGAAGCAGTTTGCACCTAACAGGTAACAGATAATCAGAGTTGGAAGGGACCTTGTAGGTCATCTAGTCCAACACCCCCCCTGCCCAAGTGGGAGATCCTACCCCATTGGATACCAAATGGCAGTCCAATCTCTTCTTGAAAGTCTCAAGTGATGATGCTCCCACAACTTCCAAAGGCAACTTCTGTTCCACGGGTTGATTGTTCTCTCACTGTCAGAAAGTTTCTCCTA